TGTGGGTCATGACCCCTTTGGTGGTCAAATGACCCTTTCCCAGTGGTTGCCTGATTCATAAACAGTAGCAAAATTACAGTTATGAAGTAGCAACGAAAATAATTTTATGGTTGGGGGTCACCACACTGTGAGAAACTGTATTAAAGGGTGGCGGCATTAGGAAGGTTGAGAACCACTGCTCTAAGGGAAGGGGACCTCTGGCCGCTCTCGGGGGAGGGGAAGTCCATCACTCAGCCTCTTTATAGTTCTCCTCAGGGCTCCTTGGGGTCTCTCAGGGCCTCTCTCTGTCCCCTGTCTGTGCTTGCTTGCCTCTTTACCTGATCTGTTCTTTTTTTTCCTTAAAATGTTTTATTGTCATATAATTCAATAGTTCAGTCACACTAAAAAGAGTTGAGCAATCATCGCCACAATCAATTTTAGAACATTGTCTTATGTCTTGTACTCATTGTTATTGACTCCCCATTTCCCCCCAACCTCCCTGTCATACCCCTAAGAGACCATTAATCCAGTTACTGTCTTTATAAATTGATCTAGCCTGGGTTTCTTTTTTTCCCTGTTACTTACTCTTTTTTGATATTTTCTTTTCACATCTCAAAAGTGGTTAGGGTTAAGACACACTCTGCACTGATGTGGCCCCTCAACAAGAGTGCACTTACATCCACAGGGTTAGGGGTTAGTACTCACAACGCAACACAATTTTGGGGGGGATACAATTCAATCCATAAGAGCGGTCAAACAACAAAAATGTAGAATTAGATTGTTTATTATGGTAGAACATTTGTAAAATAGAGAGATAAAGAAGAAAAATTGTTTTGAATCAACAGAACTCTACCTTTAAGTGTTAATATCCAGTAACACTTATAGTTTCTTTTCTAGGTATCTAATATTTTAAAAGGAAAGTGGGAATATATTAAGTATACTTTTACATAATGATTTCCTTTTTATTTAGCCTTATATAAGCTTTCCTCCATAGGTTTAAATATTTTAAAATCCAATCTTAACAAATGCAGTATTCTGTTGTGTATTATTCAATTGTTCAGTCATTCTAATTTAGGGTTTGACAAATAAAATGGTCATGAACATTTACATTTAATAAGTAAATAAATAAATCATTTAATAAATAAAATAGACATTATATTTATAGCTTATTTATTTGACCTCATGCAATCATCTTTGTGTAGATTCCTGGAGATGGACTTCCTGGGCTAGTGGTTGGGAACTTTCTGAAGACTTTGGTCCTCGCTGCTGCACGACTCTTCGGAAGCTGGCGATGTGTGACAGTATTTTCAATTCAGGACTGTTGGGCTAAAGGGCATCTGAGTCCTCTTTCCGGCCCTAGGTCTCTAATTCTGACATCTTCTCTACTAAAAGAGAAGAGCGACAGGGTGATGTTTCATGTTTACAGGCAATCCCCAAGCTCGACTGCAGGCAGCTCTTCCTGCCATTGCGTTCTTCAACCAGGCTCATTCTCGGCACTGCTTCGTTAGCACTGGGGAGTATATCGCTTTGCATCCTATGCTCTGTTCTTCTGGTAGACTGTTGTTGATGGTGAAATGTCTGGATGGGAGCAGAGGCCATTGAAAAGCCGATGTTACTGCTCTGTGCTACCAGACTGCCCTTTCCAGGTGTCCTGAAAGATAGCAAAGGCTGCCCGAATTAGATCAGCCACTGCAGATGGGGAAGGCCCAGCTGCTCTGTTCATCAGAGGTCCAACCCTCTCCCCTGGATACCGTGCCCTGTTGTCGCTAGCGCTGTTGCAAAGAGGACAACATGGCGTCTTTTCTTTGTCTTCTTAAGAGTTGCTGCAGGATGCTTCAGCTTCGCTGCTTTGGGGCACACACAGCAGTGCAGTGTGTGGGTGTTGCCCAGAAAGGTGGAGTTTGGGTGTGTTGTTGGTTGTTGGCAATCCCAGGCACAGCATGGTGATGTCCTCAGTTACTCTCTTGCACCAACAGCAGATGAAGACTTGATGTAAAAGTTAATACAAGTAATGTCTTTTTGGAGGTGAAACTAGGCTGGCTTTTCAGAACATATAGCTAAAACTCATTGTGGTGCCCAACTTAGGGACAGAGTTTCCAGGGGTGGTAAGAAACCCAATGAAGCCAGAACTGTGTTCCCGAAGGTAGAGTTTACCTCTGGCTAACACGTTGCTGAAGCCAGGACTATCCTACTTGTCAGGACGTGGTGCCCTGGTCTGCACCCAGTGGCCAGAAGGAGCACTTGCCACGTGCTAGGCTTTACTGTACATTTTTTACATATATCAACTTGCAGTTAACTCCCCCAGGTAGATCCTATGCATTATGCCCAAGTTACATATGAGAATCAGGAGGTTCAGGGAGATGCATGCTACTTAGGGCCTCATAACTGATAACAGTGTTGTTAGTAGTTGTCCCTGAGTGGTTCCCACTCAAGAACAGAATGCTGCCTAATCCCGTGCCACCTTCATGGGCTTTGTTTTTTGAGTCCATTGTCCTGGCTATTGTGCTAAGCATGGAGTGTTTCCGTCGTTTTTGTTGACCCACTAATAAGCATGCTCTTCTGGTCTAGTGATTTGTTTTTCCTGGGGCTGTGCCCATCCTGTTTCTAAGGGTGATTCTGGCAAGTGAGGTATAACAGAAGGAAATAGGTCTAAATATAGGCATGTACATATGTAAATATATTTATATATAGCAATAGGGAAGTAGATCTATGCACATATATTTATATGTTAAGTATTAAGGTAGCAGACGGATATTGGGCCTCTATTCAAGTCCTCCCTCAATGCAAGAACACTTGGTTCTAATAGCCTGGCATTCTGTGATGCTCACCTTCCCAACACAATCGCTGAAGACAAAATAGTTGCATATGGAAATGTGGTGAAGAAAGCTGATGGTGCCTTGCTATCAAAAGATATAGCGTCTGGGGTCTTAAAGCCTTGAAGATAAACAAGGGGCCATCTAGCTGAGAAGCAACAAAGCCCACATGGAGGAAGCACATCAGCCTGTGTGATTATGAGCTGGTGATGGGATCAGGTATCAGACATCAAAGACCCAGAACAAATAATCATATCAATGTGAATGAAAAGAGTTTGGAATGGAGACCCAAAGTCCATCTGTAGACAATTGGACATCCCTTTACAGAAGGGTCAGAAGGAAGAGACGAGACAGTCTGGGTGCAGTATAGCAGCAATGAAACATACAACTTTCCTCTAGTTCTTTAATGCATCCTTCCCCCACCCCACTATCATGACCCCAATTCTATCTTACAAATCAGCTAGACCAGAGCACGTACACTGGTATAGATATGAGCTGGAAACACAGGGAATCCAGGACATATAAACCCCTCAGGAACAAGAATGAGAGTAGCGATACCAGGAGGGTAAGTGGAAGATGGGGGGAGAATGGGGGAACTGATCACAATGGTCTACATATAACCCCCTCCCAGGGGGACGGACAGCTGAAGAGTGGGTGATGAGAGACAGCGGTTGATGTAAGACATGAACAAAAATGTTTATAAATTATCAAGGGTTCATGAGGGAGGGAGAGTTGGGGAGGTGGAAAATGAGCTGATAGCAAGGGCTCAAGTAGAAAGAAAATGGATTGAATATGATGATGGCAACAAGTGTACAAATGTGCTTGCACAACAGATGGATGGATGGATTGTGATGAGAGCTGTAGGAGCCCCCAATAGAACAATTAAAGAAGAAGAAGAAGGAAACGGTGCCTAGTTCTGGGGCAGTCTCACTGGCTGGTGCCTAGTTCTGGGGCAGTCTCACTGGCTTCGGTACGTCTGAGCTCATAGTAGGGCTATAATTTTGTACTCTGGACCATTACTGTATCCTGCCTTGAAAACATTTCCCAAAGTGCTTGTCATCCGGAGGAGGAGGTTGCTAGAAAAGGATTTTAATCGCAATATTTTTTAAAGCTGTGTGTGTGTGTGTACATGTTTGGGGGAGGTGGAGAGATGGCTCGTCTTGTAAAGTGCCGAAATAATAAGTGGCGATTAATTCTCACGAATCCTGGTTGGGCAGTGGGCTTTTTAGATGAGAGTGAAAGAAATATGGGTGTTGAGGACGGGAGGGGGTACTTAGGAAACTGAGTGGATAGAAAGAAGTCTTTCAGACACCAGGTCGATTTGAATCTGACAATGGAATGCAATTGAGAATCAAGGAAAACCTGAGGTCAAGGTCATGACAGAGTCCCAGCGTGGAAAGCCTAGCTAACTCAAACTCAAGGATGGTGACAAAGATGACTTTGACGAGGGTATTTGGTTGGCTACAAACCCCAGAAAGGTTGAAACCTGGAGCCACGTGAAAAAGCTGTCGCTCAGGTATGAGGCCATCAGAAATTTACCTTTGAGGTTCTGTTGAAAGGGGAAGACCTGGAAGGAAATGTAGTAGCAATCACCCCCGTGTGGCCAGAAGAGGAGCCTGGCAGTTCCTAGGGGTGGGGTGGGAGGTCAGGAGGCATCACCATGGGGGCAGGGAAGCCAGGCTGGAGAGGGTTTATGTATTACAGGATGATGGGGGGAGGGAGGGCAGGTCCATCTATCTTATCAGCAAGACAGAGATAAGGAATTGCATGAATTGTTGACTAGGGAGAGGTCACATTTGGAAAAATGAGTGTGGCAGGCATTTGTGGGCATGGAGATAGTCAGTGGAGACTAGAGGAACGTTCTACCAGATGGGTGGGTGGGAAGAGAATGGACCCAGGAGCAGGGCAAGGGGCAGGCCTGCCAAATGCTGCGTGCTGGGATCCACAGGGCAGGGACCGCTGTGTCCTCCTCCTCCTGCAGTGCCATTCAGGCACACTGGGACCTGTGAGAGCTGGAACCTACGTGGGGAAGGAAAACATAACCATTTCCCACGGCTAGGGAGGTGGCAAAATGATGCTCGTCATGGACAGAAAGCATGTGGCATGGGCTGAGAATAGGCAGTCCCACCGAACTTGCCTCTCACAGGTTTTGTAGTGGTTCCTTTGCAATGGCCCCCCAATTTCTTCACTTAAGAGTGGTCAAACACGCGTTCGCCTTGGAATGCCTCACTCACCTGTGCTCGGGCTGCAGGGACCTTTCTAATGTGTATTGGAATAAACCTTTTTTTTTTTTTTTAAAGCAAGCGTTCCCATCCAGCCCCTGTGCGAGACTCATCCTGTGCACCCAGATAGCTCGCGAGGGTGGTGGCACCATTTCATCTGGCGTGTGCAGGCAGCGTGGCTGCCGACTTGCCAGCTTCACCACCGAGGGTCTCCCCAGCGTTGGGAACGAGGCCACCTGAGGCTCAGGGCAGCGGTGTCCACCATCACTCGATTCCTCTGCTGGTCTCTCATTCCAGTGGTCATGGAGTCGGATTTCGTGAACTACGAGGGCAATTTCAAAAACCACGTGACGGGGACCATCGAGACGGCTCTTGGGAAGGTCAAGCTGAATGTCGGAGGCACAGGTCTCGTGGAGAGCCAGTCTTCGTTCGGAGCCCTGCGGAAGCAGGAGGTGGACCTGCAGCAGCTCATCCGAGACGCTGCCGAGAGGTAATGAGAATTCTGTTTGGCATTTTCGGATTCTGACACATTTTGCACTTAAATGGCGAGCAGTCAGACCTTTGCTACAAGGGTGGCCGCTATGGGAACTTCGCCCATCAGCAGACATTTATTGAATGCCACAGTGCTGACAGTATGGGGAGCACGTCTTGAATGTGGACTTTCTTGCCCATTCTCGGCGTAAGGATGAGGCGCGGGAAGCACTTTGAAAGGCTCTTCCTGCGACGGAGTGATGTGCTTTTTCCCACGGTGCCCACCAGTGGCTGGGAGTCAGTTCTAACTCATGCTGACCCCGTGTGTAGCAGAGAGTAGCACTGGGCTCTGTAGGGTCCCCCTTTTACCTTGCAATAGCATTTCATCGTAAACATGTAGTATGCTATGAGTGTTCAACAGAGCTTGATCCGTTTTTCAAAGGTTATGCTTTGTACTGAGCTCCTCTTTTGATCTGCTTCATAGATAAACATACTTATTTCTTAATCAGTTGGTCCTCTGTATAAGGAAACAGCAGCAAATCCATGTCCAAAGTATAACATGTCCTATGATAATGATAATTACTAAATGCCACTTATTTTCCAGAGTCTGGCAACGTCTTCCCTGACTCTGACTCCTAGTGAACTTATCTAGGGTATCCAAGGCTTTGCAAATCTTGATGGGAGCAGACAGCCTCCTCTTTCTCCTGTGGAATGCTTGGTGGGTTTGATACTTCCCCAACCACCACCAGGGCTCCTTCCTAGGAACCGCAGAAGTGGTAAACAGGGGTGCTCTGCACCCACATGATGCTGCTCGCAGCTCCGCGCAAGGCACCGAGACGTGGGACAGAGGGGAGAGGACACCGAGACATAGGCCCTCGCTTTCTGCCTGAGTGCCCGGCTGGGTTTTCGGTGGCTGGCTTTTTCTGGGTGCCTCGGGCAGATGCAGACCTCTGATCTCTCAGTTAACAGCGGGTGCGCTCACCATTGGCATCCCTCAGGGGCTCCATGTGAAGTCCAGAAAATGCCCATAGTGGAAATGCTGTCTCCTGCATTTTTAAATGCTAACCCCAGAAGCAGGAACGTGACAGCGCCTTCCAGCTCGTGATCATTTTCTGACTTACGAAAGGAATAGGACGAGGAAAGGGCTTCAGGGAAAGCTGTTTTTAACTCTGAAGCCGCACTTATTTACGGGATAGGCTTTCCACCAAGACCTTTTGCCTTGGAATGTTGTTGGGAGCTACCTTTAGGTTGGAGCCTGAGTCCTAGCGGCCGCATATGTAGCAAACCCAGTTCGACAGGGTAGAACGGCTTCCCAGGGCTATCTTGGCTGTAATCTTTATGGAAGCAATTCACCGAGGTTTGCTTCCACACAGCTGATCATTATTTTTATCTTATACTTATTCAACGTTCAATGCATCATTTCCGTGAGTAGCTACTATGTGCCAGGCCCTGGTGGCGCTGTGGGTTACGGGTTAGATACTACCTTCAAGGTTGGGCATCCAAACCTACCAGCTGTTCTGTCTGCTCCCATAAGGCATCAGCAGGCCTGAGCCGGCCTCACAGGGTCCCGAGGAGCTGGGATCCACGCAGTGGCAGTGGGTTTGGAGAGGGCATACTGCCCCAGGTTTCGTGTCCTCGGATGTTGTCGTGAGCAGAATACTAAAATACCTGCCTTACATCTTCACGGAGACAGATGCCAAATATATAACTAAGCAACCGGTTGACAGGGACCAGGAGTATGGGCAATGAGAGGGCAGGGGAGGGGGGAGAATCAGGTTCCAGAATGGGGAAGATGACTTTAAACAGCATGGTCAGAGGAGGTATTAGGGAGAAGTTGCACTAGGGCACGGATGAGCAGTGGGATGGGGATGAAAATTCGGATATCCTGAGCAAGAGTGTTGTGGGCAGAGGCCAGTGTGGCTGGCCAGGCGTGAGCCATGGTGTGGGGAAACCCGCCCCTCACATTATCCCGGGTTCGGTAAGCACAACTGTATGGTTATGATATATAAAGGTTATAGTAAAATCATAGAGAATAAGAGAGTTAGAAGAGAAGGTGCAATAAAGGCGTCAGACACATTTCATAGTAGCATGCTCACCTCCTGGAGGGCCATGACCTCACCAGCCAGGTCCACACACAGCACGGGCAGAGAGGGCAGGTAAAGGCAGGCATACGTCACAGGAAGGCGTTGTACTATAGGTAATATAGTAATGGGAGGGGGAGTATCTAGGGGTGTACACGTTTTAGGAAGAGGAGGGGATTAAGGGTACACATGTGGCAAGATGGGCGGATCCTAGATTCATGACAGCAGCCTAACTTTGATTGTCCTTGAGCTGGAGACTTGATTTATTCTAAGCTTTCAGGGGAAGCAATCCACTGTTCCTAACAGCAGGGAGTGAGCCCCACCTACGTGGGACAGACAATGGTGTCTGCTTGCTCTGGATGGCTGGTGCCTTCAGGCAGATAACTTGACAATCATTTCCCATTAGTTGCAAGCTGTGTCCTAGGTCTGACTTATATATTTGGGGGGAGATGAGCTGGGGAACAGTATTTTTATATCCCACGCCAGGGGAGGAACAGGAGGGAGAGGTGGCGAGCCCAGAGGGGACAGGGACTAGGCACCTGGTTATCAGGAGCCTCACTGGTCTCTGGAAGGATTTTTCACTCTCACTCAGAATAAGACGGGAGCCAGTGGAGGAATTTAAGCCGGGAAGGGCTGTATCTGGCTTATTTTTTTGGAGGGAGCCTTCTGGTGGCTGGTTGAGGAGAGAGAGGATGGGCAGAGGCAGGGAGTCCAACCAGAAGGCTATCACAGCCAATCCTGACAGGGATGATATTTCAGTGTGCGCAGTGACATATGTGCATTTTCACATGTTGTGCAACCACCCTGCTTCCTTTTGAAAATGAAAAGGCAAGTTTAAATAAATTCCGAGAACTCGCCTATCTTCACATATGACGGCCCCGTCTCCTCTCTCCTAGCGTTGGTAGGATCATGGGCAATGTCACCTCAGTGCTCATCAGATGGAATTCTGTGGGGAAACAAGCCAATGGGGGGGTGGGGGAGACAAGGAAAAAACAAAATGAACGAATAAATAAAATGAAGATAAAACTGATTCATATCCTGCATTCGGAGAGGGGGTTTTTGTACTGACATTGAGAATGTTTGGACTACGGTGGCCTTAAACCCCTTCGATTCTCCAGTAACCTCTAGTGCTTCATCGAGTGAGAAGCCCAGGGAGTGTGTTTAGCGCCTGGGCACGTTCCAGAACTGCAGATGGCACTGCGTGATGACTCCCGCCAGGCTTCGTGGACGTCGGGGAAGGTGAAGCTCACTCAGCGAGTGTCAGGAGGAAGGGGCCACCTCCTTCCTCGGGCTGTCTCCATCATTCTTTCCCTTTCTCGGAACTTCTCTCCTCTGCTAGAGAGGCATATCCTTTCTCTACTTCCCTACTTGGCACTAGAAGAGCTTTTGTTGTTTATCCAAAGCGAAATCTTAACATGCCCTGGTGTTTCCTGTTTTAAATCCCCTTTCTAGTGAGTGGGGTTTGGCGGGTGGGGGGCAGGAGGACTGAGAGAATTCAGGGCCCTTGACAGCTTAGCCCTGTTCCCCCATCGCCTTCTTTCTATTTTAAGATGCACAGCTTGGCAGTGCTCTATAACCGCATTTTGTGATAGGATTCTCAAATACGCCTCCTGATTCAGGTGGGGACGATGTTGCCTAGAGGAAGCATGTGGGGAGAGGTCAGCGCAGGGAGTCAGGAGGAAGCATTCAGAAGAGGGAAGGAAGCTAGAGCCAACTGACCCTGGTGGGCAGACGGGGAGAGGAGCTGGTGGAGGGTGCACCTACTGTGTGCTGTGTGCATGCCATCTCGTTCATTCTCCACGCCGGATTCCTGTACACTTGCAGGAACCAGCTTCTGCACAGTCACACCGCTCTGTTTGGGTGACGGGACTGGGCTCCAACCCAGGAGTTTCTGGCTCCAAAGCGCCTGTTCTTGCCTCTAAATCGTGCTTGAAATGAGTGTGAAGATAAGAAACGGGCTGAGATAAAAGTAGCTAAAATTGTACCACAGCATGTAAAGACAGAGGTGTGAATCGTCTCCCCCAGTGAGGGTACCTTGGCGTGTCGTAGCGCATGCACCGTCCCAAGAAGGAAGCCGTGGAGACCCACGCCTGCTCTCTGAAGCCCAGACGCGGGAGGAGTTCCCTGGAAAGGCTGTCCAGAAATCCTGTTAATTGTAGAGGTGATTTGGGGAAGACAGAGAGGATACGAGGAGCATAGAAATGAAATTCATCAAAGCCTAGAAAACTAAAAAGGGGTCGTGTCGCAGAGGGAGCTCCTTCTTTGTTATGTTGGTGAAGGTGAGCCATAGGTGAAGGGGGGGAAGGGAAGACCCTCCCAGTCTTGGGATAGAGACCATGTAAGGCTGACGTTGTTATGGCAGCCTAGGGTAATTAACTTATTCAGCCTATCTGCCTATCTTTGGACTTACACACGAGAACTGATAAGGCAAGGTACTGTTTGATATATTGGTGGCCTTGGGAGTGGTAATTAGTGATGTTTCAGGACTGTATGTTCTCCAGGAGCCATTTGCAGTCCATCATTTTTTTTAAATCATTTTATTGGGGGCTCAGTCCGTCCACCCATCCATTGTGTCAAGCACATTTGTACATTTGTTGCCATCATCATTCTCAAAACATTTGCCTTCTACTTGAGCCCTTAATATCAGCTCCTCATTTTCCATTATTTTAATTTCAGGTATTTTCGATGAGTTTTCATTTGCATACAAGGTACCCTAGCCTTAGATTCAGAGTATGAAGTCTGTCTGAATGGTGTGCGCATCTCAAAAGCAAACTTCACCCATCCTCGAGCAAGCGA